CTGCTGAACTACATTCTTAAAAGTAAATGATTTCACTATTTTTGTAGGAAGGATTGAACTAGGGTGACCAATTGTCTCAATTTGCCCATGATACAGGATTTTCAGTACTAAAACCAGGAAAGTCACAGGCAAACTGGGGTGAATTGGTCACTCTAGTTAACAATGCAGCAATAGAATCATCAATAAACTGAGCATATTCCATAATGAAAACAAAATATTCCCAACTCTAAATGAAAATTTAGATATCTTAACTATTATAAACATTCAATTTTTTTCCTGAAAACTAAAGAAATAAAATGGCTTAGAGGTAGAGAAATCACAAGTTTGTGAGTCAGTTCTTATTCACTCAGAGTTGCTTGGTGACCCTGGACAATCATTCAACCTCTGTACTTTAGGAATGGTAATTTCAAGTAATGGAAAACAATGGTCTGGTCTAAGGCTATTTCAAGCAGTTATAATTAAGAGTAAAAGAAATTTAATTCTTTTAGTTACTATATTGGATGAGATCTGATTGATTACAGTCTAACCTTTTAAGAGAATAATGAAAATGTCACAGGAAAGGCTTCCATCATCTTGCTTACCACATTCAAACAGCCTGATTCTTTACTTCCAAGCTCACCTTATACTGTTGTCACTTACCATCTAGAAGTATAGCTCTAATCATCTGCCTACAAGCCTTCAATGGTTCCCAATGACTTACAGAATAAAAGCTCAAATTCTTAACATGGCACTGAAGATCAGTCATAATCTCACCTCAAGCTATATTTTCAATTTCAGTCTCATATGACACCATCTCACACCCAGTACTGGACAATTACTTATGGTTTCGTGGAAAAACCAACTATATTCTCAGACTGTAAAACACTTCTCCTCATCTCTATCAATACTTACTAACTTTCCAAGGCTGCCTTTAATGCTGCTTCTTGCATGACCTTTCACATATTCTTTATCTATACAGCACCACAATACTTTGTTTATACCTCCATTAAGATTTTATTATACTCTGTCTTATATTTGTATATTTATCTGCCTCTCTGTAAATTCCTGTGTTATTTATCTTTTTACTACCTAAAGGTACTAGTCTATGTAAATCAAGATGTATGAATTGAATGAACTACATTCAGGATATGGAGTGTCAGTGAGACAAGCAGGACTCTCATAGAGGTCTCAAAAATCAGATCCTACCTTTAGCAAGCAATTTAGTGTCCCTGCCATCTTTAAAGGGAGGCATTATTACAGGCAGATCCTATGAACTTGGGACTTGAACTAACTACTTTTTTAAAGTGATTTTGCTGTTAATTACTTTTTCTTTTCTTCTAGCAGCTACCTTTTCTTTCCTTCATTTCTTTTACCTTGTTTCTCCCTGTACCTTATTAAAATTTTTTTCCCACTAACTCATCAAAGGATGCCATAAAACACAAATACAAAATTAAGTCAATAATTTTTCCACTTGCAAATTACTTATAGTGATTTTCTATTTGGCTTTGCAGCTTCTAATCTTACTGTAGAGACAAGGAAAAAAACATACTTGAGGAAGGAAATAAGCTAAAAAATCAACATAAATTGCACTGGGAAAATGTTTTTCATTACTGTATTTTGCAAATTCTTTGAAAGAAAAAATCTGTGAAAAATGCAGCCAAACTATTAAATAGTAACTCTTATTTATGAAATAAGTGACTAGCTAAAGTTAAGTATAACGTTTCCTCCATTATCGTATCCATAGGGTGAGCCTATGGCAGTGGCCAGAACTTGCAAATAGCATGCTTGGTTCCCACAACAAAGAACACACACAAACACTACATGCATATTGAATAAACAGTAATGATGGTCATCAAAACTATAATTTCAGAATTATAAGATTAAATGGAATTAACATTTTCCTTCTTACCATTATAAATAAGAAAGTTTAATATAATAAACACCAAACATCAACTCATCTAAACAAAATATTATTGGTAAATCTATAAAGTACTTCCCCAATCTTTATTTTTAGGCAAATCCAAAGACTATGAGCACAGAAAAAAAATAAATAATTTACCTAGAGAAATGACTATAATTTATAATACAATATAATTTAATACTGTATCTTTGTCTTTTTATTGTGCATATATTATATAAAACTGCTTCCAGGATCTATTGTGTTTGTTAGTATCTATTGTGTTGTTTACTGCCTCTTTCGTAAAGTATCCAAAGTACATTTCTCTAACAGTTTAGTACTAGGAAAATGTTTGTCTTTCTAGAAAAACTGGAAGGCTTATTGTTATTTCACAAAGAGAGATGTACTGCCCATTATATGCTCCTTTTTGCTTTGGTTGTTAAGCAAACTCAGAGCTAGGTTTTGCACTCAACTGCTGTTACTTTCTTTAACCTAGGTTTTATGGAATTTTCTGTCCTCACACCCCAAACCATCATTACTTGACTCATGTTTTTATGCCCATTTCAAAGCATTGTCTTGTATTATAAATCTTTTCACATATTTTTTGGAAATGGATAGGTATAAATATTAAAAGGGTGAAGAAATAAGTATTAGCAAGAAATAAGTATTAGCAAGATAAGAATAAAGTGCATACCTTTGAAGATTTCTTCTTTTCCTTGGAGCGCTTTGGATTTGATACTGAAGACATCAAAATTCTACTGATTTCAAGTCCAGTTTGAAGCTACAATATTGAAAAAAATGTATTAAATTGATTTTTAACAAGTTTCTTCTTCTTCAAAAACATTATAATGAGGATCAGATCTCAATTTATAAAGACAAAATGTTTTTTAAGGAAGAAAAGAAAACCTCAAATACTATTTTCTGTGTGAAAAAGTTACCAGGTCTACCGGTAATTACAATCATTTTCTGTTTTTGAGAGAATTATTTTGTATATCTCAAACTGAAAACAATCTATAGCAGGAATTCTTTCAACTGAGAATATATATATGTTTGTCAGAATTTCAAAAGACCAAAAGATCTCTTGGCAATACATCCAAGTATATAAATATACTGGCTGACTTATTGAGAACTTCAGTATTATAGCAAAACAAGACAAAAAAATAACAAGCTAGGAAGCAGAAATTAGAGTCTAGAATACAGGCTTCAGTTTAATAAAGTACAATAAAATGTACATGATTTTAATGTGATAGATGATACAGTGCTCTATTTACCTGAGAAGCTTTGTCTTGAAACAGCTTACGCTGATGTTCTTCTTCCTTTAGTTTTTCCTCTAAATGTTTAATCTTGCCCTGCAAAAGAATAAAAAATCTGGGATTATTATACAAAAACTAGAGCCAAATATCTTATATTCCTTTTCCAAACAGAGTCCTTAGGGTATTGATTCTTGTTAGTTTGGTAAATTAAAGCAGAAAGTAAGAAAAAGGAATGGCAAAAGATGCTAAATTTTTCTTGGCTTTCTTCCTATGCTTCTTTACCTGCTATTATATACAAGAAGAACAAAGGAAAAGCAAAGAATGTATACGCATAGGCTCTTTTAACTTTCATCAACAAAATCATAATAATGAAAACTTGGGAGGTTTTAAAGGTCTAGAAGGTCAAACAATTATAGTCTTGGGTCTCAATGTTTCATTCAAAATATGGACAAATTACAACAAACATCTATTTATGCTGCACTTAGGGAAACAACAGTAATATACATGAAATGATATGATTTGACTCAGACCATGTATATACTGTATAACCTTATACACATAAGTATTTCATCTTATATCCATGGTGTAATTTAGAATAGGAAGACAGTACTATTTCAAAGGGTGAGCTTCCTGAGTGTTGGAAAACTCAAGGAAGGCTTCACAGAGGAAGCAGAACTGGGAGAAAGTCCTATGAAATGGATAGGATTTGGGTGGAAAAGGAGAGGGCATTTCAGGACAGGATCTAGAACAGGCTTAACTTAATTGTAAGTGGTGAAAGGCAATCTTTTCAATATCCTTTAGGTAAATTACTTAACAAATGAAAGTTAAGTAATTGCAGAAGAAACCAAAACTACAATTTCACATCAAAAGGCAAGCTCATTCATGCTGTGATAGAATACATTAAATTTTCATCTCTATAGGCAGGAATTCATATCTGGATTACTAAAAGTTGTTAATGAAGTTTTACAAATCTAATTTTACTGCATATTCACATACAGTGTAATTATGCTTAATACTAAAGATTTATTCCTGGCATCACCACTTCAAAGAAACAAGTAGAAGCTTACCTCAGCAGTTTTCTGAGTTGTTGTAAGTTTAAAACATTCTTTTTCTAAGACATCAAGCTTTTCAAGTTTTGCTTGCAGCTTCATATGATCCTGTTCTTTTTCCCTTTGAAGCTGGGCCTGGAAAGGAAAAAAACAAAACCTAAGTTTGGCAAGTGATGCTAATGGCTCAAGAGTAATACAATTTCTGAGAATTCAAAGCACAATATAAATCTGTCATAAGAAACACGCACATACATGTACATACTTTAGGTGCTTATGAGCACCTAAAAACTAGAAAATAAAATACTTTTAAAAAACAAATATAATGTGTAAAAAAAGATATTAGATCAATGGAACAAAATCTTCTATGTATCTTTATATAGTATTTCTACTATGGAAAACATCATCAGTGAAATTAAATAAATAAAGGTGGTATTCACAAGGTGACCAAACCAGTCACTGATTTACCCCCTCTCTAACTATAACATAGAAAAGTAACTATCAGAGGAATAAAACATACAGAGAACGATCTTTTATTAACTTAAAACTGCTCTAAAAAAATAGTCTATTAAAAAACAAAAAACTGAAACAACCAATAAACAAAGTCTTGGTGACCTGTGGTCTAACATTCAATTGGAGTTACAGAACGAGAGGAGAGAGAAGTCAGACAAGGATAATTATTTGAAGGATAATGGCTAAAAATGTTCCAATTTTGATGAAAAATATTAACTGACATATTCAAGAATCTAAAACAAACAAACAAAAAATAACCCAAGCAGAATAAATACAAGGAAAACCCCATTTGGGCACATTATCAAATGGTGGAAAACCAGTGATAAAAGGGAAAAAAAGCAGCCTGAGAAATAACACATTATGCACAGAGGAATGAAGATAACAATTCTCATTAGAAACTATGAAATCCAGAGGACAATTGAGAGAACAGCTTTAATGTGCTAAAAGAAAAAAAGCATCAACTAGAATTCTATATCCAGTGAAACTATCCTTCACCCAATGATGGTGAAATAAAGCCTTTTCCAGACAAATACATGCTAAGAGAATTCCCAGCATACTTTTAAAAGAAGTACTTCAGACTAAAGGAAATGACACTAGATGAAAAATTGATTCTACATAAAGAAATAAAAAGCACTGGGAATGGTAAAAATGTGGATAAATGTCTCCTTGTTTCTTAATTTTCTTTAAAGGAAAACTGATCATTTTAAAGCAGAAACAGAAACAATGTATTGTGAGTTATATAATATATGTAGAAATAAAATGTATGAAAACTGTAGCACAAAGGGAGATAAGTGGAAGCATACTGTGGTAAGGATCTAATATTACATGTGAATGTTTTAATACTAATTCATGGCAGACTGTGGTACGTTAAGAACACATATTTTAACCTGTAGAGCAGGTGCTAAAAAGGAGAAGGAGAAGGGAAAAAGTACAAGAAGAGAAGTCAATAGAATATAAGAAGAAACCACTAGAGAACTTAAAAAATATTTTTAGCTGAAAGATAATGAAAATATAAAATATCAAAATCTGTGGGATGAAAGTAAAGCAATGTTTACAGGGAACTTGATAGTTACATTTAAAAAGAAATAATAAAAGTTTTAAAATCAATAATCTAAATTTCTAACATACAAAGGTAGGGAAAAAATAGCAAATTAAACCCTACATAAATAGAAGGAAGGAAATAATAAAAATGAAGTGGAAATCAATGAAATAGAACATAAAACTTTTAAAAAAAATTTTTTTGGAAAAAGTCAATAAAGTTGATAAAGTGATAGGTAGAGTGATAATTTTAAAAAGAGCAAAAATACAACTTAGTAATATCAGGAATGAAAGAGGGACTTCTCTAAAGACACGAGAAGAAACGAAAATCTGAGTAGCCCAAACTCTGTTACAAATAAATTGAATTCATTATTCAAAAACACTTTACATTTAAAGAAAACTCCAGTCCCAGATAGCATCTATCAAATTTGAATTCTATCAAACATTTATGGAGGAAATAATACTACTCTTATACAAGGTCTTCCAGAAAATAGAAGAAGGAATCTTCCCAACTAATTTTATGAGGCTAACAAAACCATAACACCAAAACCAGACATTATAAGAAAATTACAAACCAAGATCCTTCATGGACAAAGTCACAAAAATAGTTAAGCAAAATATTAGCAAACTGAATCAAGCAATGTAAAAAAAGAATACTATTTTAAGATTGATTGGGGTCTATACCAGGAATGCAATGTTGGTTAACATTTGAAAATCAAACAGTATAACTTACCATGTTAACAGAATGAGTGAGAAAAATCATATGACCCTTTCACTAGATGTAGAAAAAGCAATTCACAAAATTTGATACCCATTCACAATAAAAGCTTTTAGCAAACTAAGAATAGAAAGCAATTTCCCCACCTTGATAAGGGACAACTATGAAAAACCTAGAGGTAATATCCTAGTGAAAGACTGGCATCTATCTCCCAAAGATCAGAAACAAAACAAAGATGTCAGTCCTTACTATTCCTAAGTAACACTATACTAGCTGTAATAGGCAGAGCAATAAAGTGTGAAAAAGAAATAAAAGCCAAAAAATTTGGAAAAGGAGAAATAAAGCTGTCTTTATTCACAGATGACATGATTGTGTATAAAGAAAATCCTCTGAAAATATGAAAACTACTAGAATAAATTTAGCAAGGCTGCAGGATACAAAGTCACATAAAAATCAATTACATTTTTATATGCTAGTAATAGAAAAATGAAAAAAAAGTCCAATATTGCTCATAATAACATTAAGAATACAAAGTTCTTAGAGATAAATTTAACAAAAGATGTGCAAGACCTCTCATAAAAACTACAAACCACTATGAAGAGAAAGTAAAGAAGACTGAAATAATAGAGAAATATACTACGTTCATGGATTGGAAGATTCAATATTTTTGAGTTATCAATTTTTCCCCAAATGATCTAGAGATTTAACAAGATCCCAATCAAAATTTCAGCAGACTTATTTTTTAGAAAATGTTACACTGGTTATAAAATTTATATAGAAGTGCAAAGGATCTATAATAACCACAAAAAGAACAAAGCTGGAAGATTCACACTACTTGATTTCAAGACTTAACTATAAAGCTACATGGTATTAGTGTAAGAATAGACCAAAAGATAATACAGAGTCCCAGAAACAGACTTTATCTATCTTTGCCAACTGATTGTTGACAAAGGTGCCCAGTGAATTCAACGGGAGAAAAGAAATCTTTTAACAAATGGTGCTGGAACAACTGGGCATCCACATGGAAAAAATTTAATCTTGAATATTTCCTCTCACCATATAAAAATTAATTCCAGATGGATCACAGGAAAAAAATGAAAACAAAAAGCTTTTAGAAGAAAATATTTTGGAAAACAGTTTCACAGTTTCTTATAAACATACACCGACGCTGCGGATCAGCAATTCTACTACTAGATATTTATCCAAGAGAAATGAAAACATATGGTCATGGGCTTCCCTGGTGGTGCAGTGGTTGAGAGTCCGCCTGCCGATGCAGGGGACACGGGTTCGTGCCCTGGGCCGGGAAGATCCCACATGCCACGGAGCGGCTGGGCCCGTGAGCCATGGCCACTGAGCCTGCGCTCCGCAGCGGGAGAGGCCACGGCAGTGAGAGGCCCGCGTACCGCAAAAAAAAAAACAACACCATATGGTCACAAAATAATTTGTACAAGAATGTCCATAGCAGCTTTACTCATAATATCTCCAAACTGTCCATAGCAGCTTTATTCATAATATCTCCAAACTTTATTCATAATATCTCCAAACAAGCCAAATGTCCATCAACAGAAAAATGGATAATCAACTTGTGGCATATCTATATAGTGAAATTCTATACAGCAATAAAAGGAATGAACTAGTGATACATACAGCAACATGGATTAATCTAAAAAACTTTATGTTAAACCAAAGAACCAGACACAAAAAAGTACATTTTCTGTGATCCAATTTATATGAAGTTCTAGGACAGGCAAACTTAATCTGAAGTAAAATAAATCAGAATAGTAGTTGTGTTGTTGGGAGGTGGGTATAGAACAGGGAATAACTTGGCAGAGATATAAGAAAATTTCTGGGGTGATAAAAATGTTCTGTTGGACTTCCCTGGTGGCACAGTGGTCGGGAATCTGCCTGCCAATGCAGGGTACACAGGTTCAAGCCCTGGTCCAGGAAGATCCCATATGCCATGGAGCAACTGGGCCCATGCGCCACAACTACTGAGCCTGCACTCTAGAGCCTGTGAGCCACAACTAAGCCCACATGCCACAACTACTGAAGCCTGCGTGCCTGGAGCCCATGCTCCGTTAATGGGAGAGGCCACCACAATGAGAAGCCCGCACACTGCAATGAAAAGTGGCCCCTGCTCGCCGCAACTAGAGAATACCCGTACACAGCAATGAAGATCCAACGTAGCCAATAATAAATAAATAAATGAATTTATTAAAAAAATGTTCTGTTATTTGGTAGGAATATGGATTACATGAGCATATTCATTTATCAATAATCACTGAACTGTACATTTAAGGGCTGTGCATTTCACTAGATGTAAATTATACTTCAATAAAAACATTTTAAAAATGGTTAAAAGTCACTGATCTACAATATTTAGCTAGAATAGGAATTTCTAGGTTATTTTATAAGATAAGATGTGAATAGGTGAATAGATAGTTATCTTGTGTTTTAATTGGCATTTCCCTGGTTACGAATGAGATTGATCAAGTTTTCTATAAATGTATGACCATTTGTGATTCCTTTTATCCTGTAAAATGCCTCTTCATAACTTTGCCCATTTTTCTACTGCTTTGTTACTTTTTGTATCTTGCCTAAAAAATCTCCCTTAACTCCAAGGTCATAAGGATATTGTTCTGTATTTGCTCCTAAAAATTCCAAAGTTTACATTTAAGTCTTTAATCTATCTGGAATTGATTTTTGTGTATGGTGTGAGGTAGGGATCAATTTCTTTCTGTTTTTTTTCTCGCACAGATAACCAATTTTCCCAAAACTGTTTACTGAAGTCTGACTTTTCCCCAATGTTCTGCAGTGGCATCCTTGTTTTATATTGAGTTCCCACATAAGTGTGTCTGACTATATCCTA